TACGAATCGTCATCGAATGTTAAGTGTGCGGACCCTACGGGTTCGAGAACTAGGTAGACATGACCGAGACACATCTCCGGTCAATAACCATTAGAGGAACCTGGATGCTCATATTGACTCCTACATATTCCACGAATATCTTTATCGGTCAAACCGCACAACAACATATGTTGTTCCCTTTGTCATCGGTATGTTACTTGCCTGAGATTCGATCATCGGTATCACCATACCTAGTTCAATATCGTTGCCGGAAAGTCTCTTTACTCGTTCCGTAATGCATCATCCCGCAACTAACTCATTAGTCACATTCCTTGCAAGGCTTATAGTGATGTGTATTACCGAGAGGGCCCAGAGATACCTCTCCGACAATCGGAGTGACAAATCCTAATCTCGATCTATGCCAACTCAACAAACACCATCGGAGACACCTGTAGAGCATCTTTATAATCACCCAGTTATGTTGTGACGTTTGATAGCACACTAAGTGTTCCTCTGGTATTCGGGAGTTGCATAATCTCATAGTCATAGGAACATGTATAAGTCATGAAGAAAGCAATAGCAATAAACTAAATGATCATAGTGCTAAGCTAACGGGTAGGTCTTGTCCATCACATCATTCTCTAATGATGTGATCTCGTTCATCAAATGACAACACATGTCTATGGCTAGGAAACTTAAGCATCTTTGATTAACGAGCTAGTCTAGTAGAGGCATACTAGGGACACTTTATTTGTCTATGTATTCACACATGTACTAAGTGTCCGGTTAATACAATTCTAGCATGAATAATAAACATTTATCATGATATAAGGAAATATAAATAACAACGTTTATTATTGCCTCTAGGGCATATTTCCTTCAAAATTAGCTTTCTTCCCGCGAAAGAAGGGCTCCAACCGACCTACGAGGTGCCCACAAGACATCAGGGCGTGCCGTGTTTCCTTGTGGGCCCCTTGGGCACCATGTTGCGATGATTCTTTCCTCCCAAAATCACATATATTTCATAAAAATCTCCATAAATTTTTATCGCGTTTGGTATGGTTTTTCTATGAAACAAAAAACATGCAAAAAAACAGGAACTGACAATGGCACTAGATTAATAAGCTAGTCCAAAAAAGTTGTATAAAAATGCACCAAAACCATATAAAATCATTGTAGACATGGCATGAATACTTCATAAATTATAGATACGTTGGAGACATATCAGTCGCCTTCCGCCCCATCGTCCAGCATCTCCACCCTTTGGGCGAAGGTAGAGATTTGGGCAAAGAGCTCGTCGAGAGTAATGGGCGCCTTGACAGCGCCGATGGCTGCCACCACGGGATCATATTTGCGGTTAAGACCCACAAGTACATATTTCACTATCTTGGGGTCTTAAACAGGACGACCTGCTGCTGCAAGCTCATCCCTGAAAGTTTTCATCTTGGTGATGAAGGAGGAGCTGGACATCGTTCCCGTCTTCATGGTGGCGATGCTGATCCGCAGATTTGTGATGCGAGACTATGACTGCAATGCAAAGAGTGTGCTGATTGCAGCCCATAGATCATAGGTATTTTCCTTACCAATGACATGTGCAAGAATCTCTTTTGAAAAAGAATTCAGCACATAACCAAGGACTTGTTGATCCTTCGATAGCCATGGCGCATACAGTGGGTTTGGCACCGTAGGCATGGTCTTGTCCAACTGCTGCTACTCCACCGTGGTTGGGGGCGTGGCGCCAGTTGCATCTAGGAGCCATGTGACATGCGCTCTTTGCAGGCCAGATGTCACTTGGGCTTTCCATAGGAGATAATTCCCTTTATCAACTTCTTGGCTCGCGGGGAGGACCAAAGTTGAGGATGGCGGTAGTCGAGGAAGCCATGGCGATGGAGAAAGTTTCTGGTAGCTAGATTGGGAAGATGATGGCTATGTATACCATGTAAAATTATATGAAAGTGTTCCTACTCTAACAGTTTAGAGGAGACCATCTGCGTGAGTTTATTTATTGAGGGCAACATCACCTTGTCGTGGTTTACAAAGAGAATCGGTCGATCGCATAGAACTTTTACATAGAGATAAAGATGGATAGATGAGATAGTTGATATTACATGTCGTGCTGTACCCAAACTCTAACCGTTTAGAAGTACATTTTGCCAGAGGCCAGACTCAACTTATAGGTTCCAAAACAAATTTTTTTCGGGAGGTTCCAAAACCATTTAGCCAACAAGGCTTTGTTCATGAGCTCAAGATTTAAAATCCCCAAACCCCTGCTGGAATTTAGTCTATTTTTAGGCTAGCCCAATTGTATTCCAGAGTTCCTAATAAATTCTAGAGGCCCACTTAGCCCATTTATGCAAGACAAGAGATGGGATTAAAGTTTAGTTCCACACTGCTCACCTAGTAGGAGTTAGACCTCTTTATAAGGGAGAACGAGACATTTACGCGCGCTTCTCCTCCGTCGCCCGCCTTGCCATGCCACGCCACGCCTCATTACGACGCGCTGCAGGTTGCGGAAATGAGCCGAGCCGTTGTCTAATTTTTTGCCACGCACGACTGGTATACGAAAGATCACGTGGGAGCTGAAAAGTTTTTATCTAGTGGAGATTGAATACGAACGTTGCACCCTTCGGCTGCTGCCTGTTCGTTTCGTTTCCCTCTTTTGCTTCACCTCCCATCGTTGCCTATTCGCCCCTTTCTCCTGTGCCTATGAAAGAGAGGTCACTCTCTCCAGAGAGACACAACAGAACAAAACCTCTCTCACGCCGCCGAGTTTCAGAGCACTGAGCTACTGCTACGATCTTCCCCATCCCGATTTGCCGCGTGCACCGCAGGTCGGGACAGTAGGCCTCCGAAACCCCACCTTTTGAGTCATGTATGGAAGTAGGGTGATAAGGTTTTTGGGGAACGCTTTGTGCGGCAACTGAACTGTTCATCACAGACACTTCGGACCCCGACAACTACTTTCCCAACGACGACTTTTTCCCCGACGTCGACGACCTGTTCGACTTCATGGGTGAAAACGTCAACTCCAACGCTACTGCTACTACCGCAACTCAGGGCGTGTTCATGTTCCTCTTGTTCGAATACCTACTACAATTTGTTCTTCTACTATCTACTCTACATATATTCTGTTCTAATTCACATGTGCAAGTGCTATTTGCCTTCTCTCTATTAGGTTACATAACTTGTTTCATCTCTGCTATAGTAGTCATGTTTTATCTAGTATTTCTATGGTTTCAATCATATGGTAAATTGCTCATATTTCCAACAATCCCCTTGATCTTGGACGAGACTTGCTTGCTCCCCCGTCATGTGTCCATCCGTGCTCCCGTCTACGTGACTTGATTTGATTGGAACAAAATAAAGCTCGGCTCCACCCCTTAAAATCAGGAAGAGAGGGATGATTAGATTAGAAAGAAAAAAAAAGAAAAAAAACAGCCGTAGAATGAAGTGGGAGCACGGACGGGAGCACAGGGAGGAAGCAGGCAAGCCGAATCCCTTGATCTTGGTTTACAACAAGTCTTCCAATTAGTAACCAAGATAAAAAAAGGCATCATGAATAAAGGCATAGTACTTGACCAGCTTGAACCAAAGTGATTTTTCAGTTTAACTGGAGAAGGATTTAATACGCTCCCTGATATAAGATTGCTACTACTCCTACAGAGCTTGTACAAGTACGAACGAATTGTACTGCCCTTGTTCCTGGTACTTCCACTGACATGCGCGGATTCTGCAGCCTGCCGGCTGCCGCCATTGTCAAGTCGTCCACACCACACGGCCGGATGGACCAACTTTGGCATCTTATCCGACATGGAATCTGGCGTTCGTGTCGATCCATCGGCCCGTATCGATCACATAGCGGAGTACATTACTACTAGTACATTATTGTTGTACACTATACCATAGTACATTAATCATCCTGTCGATCATTATATGTAGGAGTCGGTAGCATATTATGCGCGCCCGTGAGCATGCTCGAGGCGAGACAGCCCGATATTTCTTTTGCACACATGGAAGGCGCACGGGCCCTTGTATCGGTGCGCGTTCACGTGCAGCGGCTAGCTCGACATCCCTCCCCTACGTCCACGGGCCCTATCCAGCACGCGAAGGCGCGGCACGCCACCGCCACGTACGTACTACCGCTGGTAGCGACCCGCATGTCGACGGAGGCGTCATCCTCGCCGATATGATATCGGCGTCCAGATCATGTGGCTCTCAGCGCCTGCGGCGCAAGTGCGGGGAAACATAAACCTTTACCCCAAACTGTTGGCATCGGACGACAGGCCGGTATCCAGATTTGATCGACCCTGGACGGTTGCGCGGACGCAGCGCGAGTAGGCCCGCGCATCGGTGCATGATCGGTCGATGGATGACAGCCGGCGTGATACGGTGCCGTGCGCCGATCCGTGGTCGCGGTCGAGGCCCGCCGCGCATGCGTGCGCCGGAAGCATGCCATGCCGTGCCATGCCATGCATGATGCCACCGGCACCGGGCGCGCGCGCACGCTCGCTGGTCGCATCATGCCGGTGGCCCGGCAAGGGCACCGCGAGCCCACATGCCCGGAGATCTCGTCACCAGTGACTGTCTGTCCCGCTCCCACGGAATAGCTTTGGCAAGCACGCACACACACATGCGACCGACCGAAAAGCAGAGGGGAGGAAGCAGCGGCAAAAGCCAAGGCAAAAGGGCCTCTGCCTGCTGTTGAGGGGCCACGCACCGAACCACACAGAGGCCGCACCACACCATGCCACACCAATCCCGCGACCCCGGCCGGGCCCCGCCATGTGCATGCAGCATTCGTTGGTGGGCCCCACGGCGCCCGCACACCACGCACCAACCCAACGCCTCCTTCCGAGCTAGAGCTAGAGCTGCTAGTGGCTGGCTACGGCCACCCTCGTGCCCGGTCGTTATATAACACCCCGCGCCTGCGCTCCTGCCACCTCTTAGCAAAAGCGAGGCACTCTACTTACCGAAGCTACTCCGCCCGCCCCCACCACCTTGTCGATCGGCGAGCGAGCGCCATGGGCAACTGCCTGAACAAGGCGTCTACGCAGCAGCGGCGGCGCGGCCACGGCGAGAGGGTGGCGCCGGAGGTGAGGGAGGAGGAGGAGGAGCTCAGGAGCATCGGCCAGGTGCTGCTGCAGGAGGAAGAGGAGGAGGAGGAGGTACCGGCGTCCGCGTCGCCGGCGGCCGGGATGAAGGTGAAGGTGGTCCTGACGAGGGCGGAGCTGGAGTGGCTCATGGCGCAGCTCAAGAGCGGCGAGCAGCGCCTCGAGGACGTCCTCCGCCAGATGGGCAACGCCCGCGCCGACGACGACAAGCCGCCGCGCGCCGACGCCTGGCGCCCGCGCCTCGAGTGCATCCTCGAGTGCCCCGAGCCTGCCGACGCCACCTAGCGCAACCTACACACGGCGCCCAGCCGGCCGTTCTCTCTTCTATCCGGCGATCAGAGCTTGATCTCCTCCATGGTGTACTAGCTTTCTTGCTCAGATCCGCCCGTGTGCATGCTGTGATCCATGGAGAGGCTTCTTGTTTTTGTGTTTCTCTCCAAAGGATGGATCCATGGATCGGAGTGGCTTGATCTAGGATGAACACCAACTGTACTATGTAGCCCGTTAGAGCAGTAGCAGTAGCTTGATCTCTCACCTCTCACTGGTGTTTGTTGTGCACTTGTGCTCGTATGTGGGTTTTGCTCTGTCCGCTTGTTTTGGTTTTTCTTTTTCTTTTTCCTTTTCTGTTTTGTTTGTAAATAGTGTGGCCTCAAACCAAATGGCAACGTACCGTCCGCTGCAGTTTTGCATCTCGGATCGGACATGATCAGATGTGACAATTTTAGCTCTTTTTGGTGGCGTAATCTACCCTTTTTTATTTTGTATACATCCACATTCGCTACTACCATATTTCCCGCATATTAAATACGTACTGGTGCACGAACCAATCTATGATTGGATGGTTAAAAATACTGTGGTATCCTCAGTTCATCAGACGTTCCTGTCAACGACGAGATATCTACGGTGACTTTATAAATTTTACGTACTGGTGCATGGTTAAGTTTGTGAGTGCTGAAGCTCTAGTCTACATTCCGACAGCGTATGCACAACCAGAGCAACTTGGATCGAATGACCGGAGCAGAGTTAAAGTAGCACGAAAAAGTGCTATTTCCGCCGGAAAAAAGCACCGAAGTGCCATAGCCTACTGTGGCTAGCATATTCTCGTGGAAGCAAAAGCCGGAGCAGCCACCTTTGGTCAACTTTTTGCCCGGTTAAGTTCGTCCCGTCTCGTTGATCGATGCACGGTTAACGTACTACAACAATGAAGGCGGTCAAACATTTGCACATGCTTAAGCGTAACCTCGCATCAACTTATTGTGCGGTTTGCGTCCAGGAAAGCGGGTCGACGTGATGCTACGGCTCACCAGCTTTTTCAACCGCGAGAGCGACGCCTCTTCGCGGGGTCGCCGCTCTGACTAATCAATCCAAGTAATGACCCAAACGAACCCACGCATTTTCATCGCCTACGTTTCCAACTAGTCCGTCTCTTGATCTGTTATAAATAAAAACCAGCTTGTCGCTTTCAACGAAACCACGCACGTTTGCCTGCCCGGGGCGGTCGTGATCCGGGTAAAATACGGTCCAAATGGGTTTCAAATTTATAATCGAAAGCATGCATCAAAGCAGAGCCTTGAGCCACGAGCCCACGAGTCAAAGTAAATGGGGTGCTAAAAGAGGCAGCCGCGCTGCATGCGCACATGGTCGTCGACGGCTCATGGTGCAGTACGTATTCTACTAGTCGTGGTTGTTGTAGAAAAGCAGTGCACGATTCTACTGCACCACCGTGCCACCGTGCCGCCGACGACCGAAGGAGGAAGAATACGTACGTACGCACGCACGTACGGTCCGTCGCTCTCGGCGCCGCCTGCTGCATTTCGAATTTTCGATCCGTTCGATCCATTCCAACAGGCCTGAGCCTGAATATATTTGAAACATTCCAAGTCGTTCCCCTCCGGCCGGGCGTGATGTTGGCTCCAGCGCGAGCGAGCGCACTATTACCACGTGCGGCGGCCTGTGCAGAATTCCATTCTCCGGCGCACGAGCGCTCGGTTTTTCCTGCCCAGAATTCAGAGCGCAAAAAAGCTAGACTTACGGACTGGTTACGGAATCATCTTACGGACCCCTCCAACTAACCAATCTCTTCTCCCCTTGAATTCAACTGTGGGTCCTGTTTCTGATTTCCCATCCAACCAAATACTACCACACATGTGCGTAACTTAAAGTCTGTAAGATGCGGTCCGTAGGTGTAGCAAAGCTCTTCAAAGCGAGCGCCAACTCTGACGCGAAACTTGGGCCAGCCACATTTTCTCTTGCGACTTGCAATGTCTGTTAGTCCGTATAGCATGGCACGTGAGACTCGGGAGATTTAGCAGAAAGCAACGGAAGAACAACATGGGGGGATTCGTAGATAAAAAAAATCCGGCAAGCAGATTGGCTAAAGAACAACGCTACACTTACAAGGCAGAACGCCATCCACCCACAGCGAGACAACGCAGCTCCGACTCGGTAGATAACTACGGAGAACAAAGCAAGGTTGGCACGGAAGATCGCCGAACATCCACCTGTCGCCCGTCATCGTACACCACCGGTGCCCCACACCGCAGTTACAACTTCACATCAACAAGCAGCCGAGGCAATCTTACAGACACGTCGAAGAGCCGACTACCACGACCAATGTCATGCCTCCGACAATGCTCACCATTGTCATCGTTGCCACAGAAGCCAAACCCCCTCATTGTCAGACAGACACGACCAAGCAGCATGAACGACACCCCCAGCTATCACTGGTCCCTCTGGCCGGTAAGGAGCTCCCGGAACGATGCCCCAAGAAGTGTGACACACGTCGCCATCGTCCGATGCCAGGGGATCATGGTTTTCCCCCAAGCATCCTTGCGTAGTGGAGCGAGCAGGAACACCTCAGCGACACCTTCAAGAAGGATGCAACGCCCACATACGTCGGCATTGCCTACCATGCCCAAAAGCCGACAACAAGATCTTCACCCGACGCTGCAACTCCAACCACCAATCTGAGCTAGACCACCACTACAAGAACCAGATCCAACCATGATTGGTCAAGTCCGGCACCCCGTGCAACAGCTGCAGCCACCCTCGCATGCACCACCGACCGTGTACCACCGTCCACACGGCCAGCACGCCGCCCAACACCAACTCGCCCGAAGCCGCCGCTTCGGCAACCTCCCACTTCGCCTAGCCTTTGGCCTGGACGAGCCTAGATCTGGCCGGCCCGCCAGGATGCACCGCGACGCGCATCATCGCACCAATGAGAGAGCCCAGGACGAGACCGTAGATTTGACGGCTAGAGGCATTGCACATCATGGTACACATTCAGAGGCACTCATATAGAGTCATAATATTACAGTTATCGAGTTGTAAGTAAGAAGAAGTGTGATGATCATCATTATCAGAGCATTGTCCCAGTGAGATAAAGAATGACGGAGATTGATGCATCCTCGAAAAAGTGGGGACAAGGTTCATGGTATTGTTTTAAAAAATGAGAAAAAAAGATAAATGAGAGAAAAAGAGACAAGGGATAATGCTACTATCATTTCACCACACTTGTGGTTCAAAGTGGCACCTAGTTCTTCATATAGAGAGTCTTCAGGATTTGTCATTTTCATATACTAGTGAGAATTTTTTACATTATAGAACTTGGCTCGTATATTCCGATGACGAGCTTCCTCAAATGCCTGAGGTCTTCATGAGCAAGCAAATTGGATGCACACCCACTTAGTTTAAGTAGTGAGCTTTCTTACACTTATAGCTCTAATACATTTGTTGTATGGCAATGTCTACTCCTTGTATCTATATCGATTGAAAGGCCCTAACGATCTGCCCGATCCGCAGAGTTGATGCTGAAAGCACAAGTGCTCCCCGGGTGATTTTGATAATTAATGTCAACATATCTCTTGTTGGACTAATATTTTCATCTAGCATATTTCAGATAAGTCCAACAGTGGAGTGGCATGGACTAGAGGATGTGGGACCCCTTCAAGATGATGATGACAAATGATTGGCTCAAGCTCAAAGCTCAGGACTCTACATTTTTCATTTTAGTGATCCAATATCACATTGAGTCCATAGGAAAGCCAATACTATTAAGAGGGGATGAAGTGTTGCTTAATGGCTTGCTTGCTCAAAGTGCTTAGTGATATGCTCCAAAGCCCTCAACCACTTTCTCATATCCACATTTGTCCCAAACCAAAAGTCAAACTCGGCCCCACCGAAACTTTCTATCCGGCGCCACCGAGTTCTCTTGACATAGCCACTACCAGAAACCCTAATCAATTCGGTCTCACCGATGGGATCTCGGTCTCACCGAGATGGGCTTGCAAACTCTCTCTTGCCTATTGCATTAATTTCGGTCTCACCGAAACATGACATCGGTCCCATCGAGTTTGCTTGGCCAACTCTCTGTTTAGCTTATTACCAAAATCGGTCCCACCGAATTTGTGTAATCGGTCCAACCGAGATGAGGCTTTACCCTAACCCTAGCACATCGGTCCCACCGAGTTGATCAAGTCGGTCCCACCGAAAACCCTAATGGTCACATGATGAACTAAATCGGTCTGACCGAGTTGTATGATTCGGTCCCACCGAGTTTGGTAATTTGTGTGTAACGGTTAGATTTTGTGTGGAGGCTATATATACCCCTCCACCCACTCTTCATTCGTGGAGAGAGCCATCAGAACATGCCTACACTTCCAACATACATTTTCTGAGAGAGAACCACCTACACTTGTGTTGATGTCAAGATACTTCATTCCAACCACATAAATCTTGATCTCTAGCCTTCCCCAAGTTGCTTTCCACCCAAATCATCTTTCCACCAAATACTATCCTATGAGAGAGTTTTGAGTGTTGGGGAGACTATCATTTGAAGCACAAGAGCAAGGAGTTCATCATCAACACACCATTTGTTACCTCTTGGAGAGTGGTGTCTCCTAGATTGGTTAGATGTCACTTGGGAGCCTCCGTCAAGATTGTGGAGTTGAACCGAGGAGTTTGTACGGGCAAGGAGATCGCCTACTTCGTGAAGATCTACCCTAGTGAGGCAAGTCCTTCATGGGCGATGGCCATGGTGGGATAGACAAGGTTGCTTCTTTGTGGACCCTTCGTGGGTGGATCCCTTTGTGGACTCACGCAACGGTTACCCTTCGTGGGTTGAAGTCTCCATCAACGTGGATGTACGATAGCACCACCTATCGGAACCACGGCAAAAATCTGTTGGGGAACATAGTAATTTCAAAAAAAAAATCCTACGCACACGCAAGATCATGGTGATGCACAGCAACGAGAGGGGAGAGTGTTGTCCACGTACCCTCGTA